GATGTGTGTGTGGTGCAGCTGAGATGTGTGTGTGTGGTGCAGCTGACATGTGTGTGTGTGGTGCAGCTGAGATGTGTGTGTGTGTTGTGCAGCTGACATGTGTGTGTGGTGCAGCTGAGATGTGTGTGTGGTGCAGATGAGATGTGTGTGTGGTGCAGCTGAGATGTGTATGTGTGGTGCAGCTGAGATGTGTGTGTGTGGTGCAGCTGAGATGTATGTGTGTGGTGCAGCTGATATGTGTGTGTGGTGCAGATGAGATGTGTGTGTGGTGCAGCTGAGATGTGTATGTGTGGTGCAGCTGAGATGTGTGTGTGTGGTGCAGCTGAGATGTATGTGTGTGGTGCAGCTGATATGTATGTGGTGCAGCTGAGATGTGTGTGGTGCAGCTGAGATGTGTGTGGTGCAGCTGAGATGTGTGTGTGTTGTGCAGCTGAGATGTGTGTGTGGTGCAGCTGAGATGTGTGTGTGTGGTGCAGCTGAGATGTGTGTGTGTGGTGCAGCTGAGATGTATGTGTGTGGTGCAGCTGACATGTGTGTGTGTGTGGTGCAGCTGAGATGTGTGTGTGGTGCAGCTGAGATGTGTGTGTGTGGTGCAGCTGAGATGTGTGTGTGTGTGGTGCAGCTGACATGTGTGTGTGTGTGTGGTGCAGCTGAGAAGTGTGTGTGTGTGGTGCAGCTGACATGTGTGTGTGTGGTGCAGCTGAGATGTGTGTGTGTAGTGCAGCTGAGATGTGTGTGTGTGGTGCAGCTGATATGTGCGTGTGTGTTGTGCAGCTGACATGAGTGTGTGTGGTACAGCTAAGTGTGTGTGGTGCAGCTGAGATGTGTGTGTGGTGCAGCTGAGATGTGTGTGTGGTGCAGCTGAGATGTGTGTGTGTGTGGTGCAGCTGAGATGTGTGTGTGTGTGGTGCAGCTGAGATGTGTGTGTGTGGTGCAGCTGAGATGTGTGTGTGGTGCAGCTGAGATGTGTGTGTGTGGTGCAGCTGGCATGTGTGTGTGTGGTGCAGCTGAGAAGTGTGTGTGTGTGGTGCAGCTGACATGTGTGTGTGTGTGGTGCAGCTGAGATGTGTGTGTGTGGTGCAGCTGAGATGTGCGTGTGTGTCGTGCAGCTGACATGTGTGTGTGTGGTACAGCTAAGTGTGTGTGGTGCAGCTGAGATGTGTGTGTGGTGCAGCTGAGATGTGTGTGTGGTGCAGCTGAGATGTGTGTGTGTGTGGTGCAGCTGAGATGTGTGTGTGTGGTGCAGCTGAGATGTGTGTGTGTGTGGTGCAGCTGACATGTGTATGTGTGGTGCAGCTGAGATGTGTGTGTGTGGTGCAGCTGACATGTGTGTGTGGTGCAGCTGAGATGTCTGTGTGTGGTGCAGCTGAGATGTGTGTGTGCGTGTTGTGCAGCTGACATGTGTGTGTGTGGTGCAGCTGAGATGTGTGTGTGCGTGTTGTGCAGCTGACATGTGTGTGTGTGGTGCAGCTGAGAAGTGTGTGTGTGTGTGGTGCAGCTGAGATGTGTGTGTGTGGTGCAGCTGAGATGTGTGTGTGTGGTGCAGTTTAGATGTGTGTGTGGTGCAGCTGAGATGTGTGTGTGTGTGGTGCAGCTTAGATTTGTGTGTGGTGCAGCTGAGATGTGTGTGTGGTGCAGCTTAGATGTGTGTGTGGTGCAGCTGAGATGTGTGTGTGGTGCAGCTTAGATGTGCGTGTGTGGTGCAGCTGACATGTGTGTGTGTGGTGCAGCTGAGATGTGTGTGTGGTGCAACTGAGATGTGTGTGGTGCAGCTGAGATGTTTGTGTGTGGTGCAGCTGACATGTGTGTGTGGTGTAGCTGACATGTGCGTGTGCGCTGCTGAGAACTGAATATGACGAGGATGTGTGTGTGTCCATGGATGCGGGACCCGGCGACCCGAGTTCGATTCCCGCTCACGGCCAACACCAGTGACGATTATTTGAACCGGTCCTGGGCCTCCCCTAGATCGACTCAGCCTCAAATGAGTACCTGATGCAGTGTGTAGTAAACATCGTCACTGGGGAGACAAAGGCGGTCGGGCAGTGGTGTTGGCCACCCACCCCCTGGTGTGACGTACCGGTCATCATAGGTGCTCGCTAACAGAACTTGCCCCAACAGTCTGCCAAAGGCTATACGGGGGATCTTTGTCTTCATGTGGTTGCGGCATAGATGTCTGCGTGTGTGTGAGTGTACGTGTGGCTGTAGCTGGGATGTGGTTAGTGTGTGCCACTGAGATGGGTGTCAGTGCGTGTTTGTCAGTCTGAATGTGTGTGTCTGCATGCGTGTGTGTGTGAGTGTACGTGTGTGTGTCCGGCCCGTGATCCATTTGGTGAGAATCTCAACTCGACATGCGGGTCGATGCGGGACCACGTGACGCGGTGCCTTTTACTCCCCTCGCCCCATCAGCCCCTCCCGACGCCCCCCCCCCCACACACCACACCCCCACTACCTTCCCAGAACCATGAACCACAGCAGCTCGCACGAGTACCTTGCTGTACACAGTGACATCAGCCGTCTCATCCACTCACAAAACATCAGCCACCTTCTCTCCATCAACCCACCAAAACTCCATCACCCCTTCGCATTCGCTCCATCCGCCAATCACCTCCCTTTCATTCGAGCCAACGCCCCCACAAGCCCTCCCCTCCCACCCCCCACCTCCCGTGAGTGACACGGCGAGCTAAATTAGGCCGATGCAGGTCAAAGGTGACAGGGTTGAGCCCTGCAGACCAAAAAAACCCCCATCCCACCGCTCATACAGGCGCGGGTCCGGCTCTGCTCAGTCGTCAGTAACCTCACAACCAACTGTAGTCATCATGGGTCAGTAACGTCACAACCAACTGTAGTCATCATGGGTAAGTAACCTCACAACCAACTGTAGTCATCATGGGTCAGTAACCTCACAACCAACTGTAGTCATCATGGGTCAGTAACCTCACAACCAACTGTAGTCATTATGGGTCAGTAACCTCACAACCAACTGTAGTCATCATGGGTCAGTAACGTCACAACCAACTGTAGTCATCATGGGTCAGTAACGTCACAACCAACTGTAGTCATCATGGGTCAGTAACGTCACAACCAACTGTAGTCATCATGGGTCAGTAACCTCACAACCAACTGTAGTCATCATGGGTCAGTAACGTCACAACCAACTGTAGTCATCATGGGTCAGTAACCTCACAACCAACTGTAGTCATCATGGGTCAGTAACCTCACAACCAACTGTAGTCATCATGGGTCAGTAACCTCACAACCAACTGTAGTCATCATGGGTCAGTAACCTCACAACCAACTGTAGTCATCATGGGTCAGTATCAATCCGCTGCCGGATGAAGGACTCCCCAAACCGCCGTCGCCATCTCTCGCGGTCTCGCGATGCGACAATCCAGCGGCGCGCGAGCTGATTTCGTCGTTCTGTCTCCACGGTGGACGCGGTCTCCGATTGGCCAACAAAGCCAAAGCCACGCATCCCATTTGTGGTGCTGGGCAAACGTAGCCAGAGCCTGTGATGCTGTTCCCAGGGGCACAGTAAACGAATCGAATCCCGAATCGCGCTGCGCGATGCCTTTTGAGCGAAATTACACTGGCAGTGATCTCGGATAACGATTGGATTTGATCCAAAAATATAACGCAAAATTAGCTTAATTGCCCGTCCTAGTGGCGCTAATGGAATGTTAATACATTCCATTAGGACGGGATGGGAGTGGGCGGGATAATCTACTGCGGGGAGATCTCGCGCGGGCACTGCCGGGCCAAGAAGGGGGGGGATCTGAGGTTAACGCGACCTGCAGACTGGCGATGGGCGCGAAGCCAGAGGCCGACGCGAAGCTCCCGGCTCGGGGTGGAACTCCACACGGACTCCACACGCGCCGAGTCATTCCGCCCGCACGGACAAATCGCCCTGAAACGCGCCCCATATCGCCGCATCTCGGACTCTAGCAGGTCTTGAGCCAGGAAAGGGAGAAAAAAAAGTAAATAGTTTGTTAGTACTTGAAATGGAGAGATTAACTTGGAACACGAAACTATTTTAAAATAATTTTTATTTTACCAGATAAGGCCCACGGAGCCGTAAGATAGCTATTTTGCAGAAGCAACCTGGCCACAAATGATAGCTCAACGAAGTGGCTTATTATGTGGAAATGTATACTGGAGCAACCAAATAATCTAAACACGCACGTTGATTCTAAATGTGGAGGGAAAAACCGGAGGACCTGGAGAAAAAAAAATCCACGCGACCACGGCAAGAGAGACACGCAAACTCCAAATATACAGCAGCAGCAGCAGGCGTCCGGCTCGGGATCGAACCCACGA